ATTGACCTACTCCAAAGTGTGGAAGGAATGTGAAGCTCAGAAAAGAGCAAATAGTTCCAATTTACCATTACTGACTGCATGGTTCTGTCAATATGTGCGGAGTTTTTGAGCTTTATCCCACCTGCATCATTGAAACAGATGCCCATTCACCATTCCCCAGATTCAGACACAAACACAAACTCACTCACACACAAACACGCTGGGAAAATTGCTGACTGATGCTTCTAGCCTGGTGGCAAACTCCTAAAAGTTCCTGGGCAGAATGCACATATATGTTTATAGAATGCAAGGAAACAGTGGCAAGAGCTCCTCTGCCAGAACAACTTTCAAAAACAAAGGTATATGAGTCTAGGAGAGATCCACAAAGGCTTTGATATGTGAACTCTGGACAAAAGTTTCTGTAACAGCTCAAGGTATTATTCCACCAGCTAGATGCTTCCCCCCAGCTGATGGATGCTGTGCCTCCCCTTTGAAGGGCGCTGTCCCTAGCACAGAGGTCACCAAAAACACTATGCAAAGAAAATTCACTTAGTTCTGTCTAAAGCTCAATGATTTGGCTTAAAGGGCTGCTAGCAGTGGGTTTGAATTGGAACAACAGAGCAAGAGCTGGAGCAAAGCCACCCTCTGCTGATTCCCAGGCGGTAAGAACCATCAGCACGGGAAAAATTTGCATATAGTAACTTCTTAAATTGCTACAGTAAGATCAACCATAGCTCTGTCAAAATCTAGTGTAAGGGTCCAGATCCAACACACAGAACCACTGAAATCCCTCCCTGCTCAGGTGCTGATTGAGAAGACTTTGTTGTATCCAAATCCCATTTGCATACTTAATGCTGCCCAAAATCCTTACTACTCTCTGTAAATGTTGCTATTTAGAGTTGACTTAACGACTTGAAGTCTCAGCAGAGTTCTTAAACTTTTTTTTTTTTGTTGTTGGTTTTTGGTTTTTTTTTGTCTAATATATAGGCTAGTGACTGGCTAGCATACACAAAAGAGAGCTGAAGATTTACAGACAAATGTGAATCCCAGCAGCGAGCACACTCTCCTGTGATGTGGGAAGCAATATTAATTGAAGTGAGATCTTGCAGCCTGACTCTACCACATCCCAGGGAAATGCCCTAGCCCTTGGGCATTGAGTTAATCTCTCATTAGCCATCCCTCTGGTCTCTTGAATAAATTATTTATGAAAAGCAGAAAAACTTCAATAGGAAAAAGTGAAAAGAGATTTACCATGGAGTTCCTGGTAAAGAAGCCAATTCTTCAGGAGGTGATGTATGTTTAGAAAAAAGCCAATTTAGATAACAAATCAATTTGCACTTTGGGGGCAAGCACGCATTAAAGCTAGACAGATGCTATCCTCTATGTGAGAAAAATTAATTTTCTTCTCTCAGTACCAAGCAGAACCAAAATATATAGGAATACAGGGTTCCTACTGACAAAATGAAGAGAATATTCCTTAGGCTAAGTGAGGTACCTTGTCCATCTCTCAACCCCAGGCTACTTCACTTCAAACATGGTTGATTTGAGTAAGGGCCCCCCTTGAGCAGGGCTGACAGCTGAAAATCCCAAATAGAAGCCGAGGTCCCTTCTGAAGTTGAGTCAGACACCTATTTTGAAGAATATAATCTTAATTTGTACTTTACTCCTCCATACTGGCCCTCACTGAAATCTGACTGCAGTTTGCTGAATTCCACAACTCCTTGGCTACACTTCCATTTCTACCTCTACACTACATAAAAACAGAACTAATAATTTAAATGATCACTGGTACAGTGATTTGTCCAGCAAGCCAGGTTATTCTCCATAGCTTGGATGCCCAGCACGAAGCTGCAGGGTGCCTCAATCTGCAAGGTTCGAAACCTGGAAGTCTTTCAGAAGGGTATACAACTACTTTCGTGCTCTACAGGAAAAAATCAGAGCTGATTGCTTTCATTTAAAATACAGATGGGCAGAAGGAGAGGATGATGAAACACTTCATATGAAAAGCTCTCATGACCCTATATGGGAACAACAGAATACACCATGGGCATAAATTGCTGTATGGTTTTCCACTATTCCTTCTCCAGGAACTGCCATGATTCCTTACAATCCTCACTTCAGTGAAAGAGCCAGAAATGGACATTTTTCTCACAGACTTTTGGAAGAGTATTTCCATAAGTAACCAAATACAGACTAAAGGATGACTCAAGCTGTTACAACACAGGGGAACTTGGGACTCAAGCACAAACCTACAAGGACATTGTTGTGGTTTTTTTCTAACATGACAGTAATTGTCTGACTGGATTCTACGTAAACACAACTCTGTTCTTCTGTTTTGTCCACAGCTCCCAGTCTGAACATCTGTGTGTCCAAGGAAAATACTAAACTGGCCCAAACATTAATGCAATCCTTGGGCCTGCAACTGTAAATGTGTAAAATGCCTCTGAGAGCAGGTAGAAAATGATCTGACTCTGCGGCTCAACTCTTCATCAGGTGTGACCACAGCCTCCTTCAGATGTGTAACCTGTGTGGGTTTACAAAAGTATTTCCAGAATCACAGAATATTCTGAGTTGGAAAAGACTCACAGGAATCATTGATCCAACTCTTGAGTGAAAGGCCCATACAGGGACTGAGCCTGTGACCTTGGTGTTATTAGCACCATGCCCTGACCAGCTGAGCTAATTTACTCAGCATTTTGTTTAGATTTCAGCCCTCAAATGGATCCTCCTCTGGTGTCTTACAGATTTTGAGTGCTGTGTAAAGCTGCTAGAACAACAGTGGTATACAAACCAGTGGGGTGCAGGCTGAATGGATAAAATCGAACTAGCAGGGTACACTGAAATGTAAATCACCTACTTACATTTATCTTTAAAATAATAAAATTTATCTTTCTGTTAAAGACCTTGCTGTATTAGATATAGTAGTAGGATTCAAATTATCTCCACACTAATTTTGATATGATATGTCTAGAAATCAATGCTGTTATTTAAGCATTCATAAATGCTTAGAAATAATCTTAAAATCCTACACTGTATGTAAAAATTCTTTCTTTGTACAGAAAAGCAGTAGATGTGAAAGAAAACAAATTAATAAAAAAACATCTCACTCTCTGTATGTCCCTGGACAGAAGATACATGTTAAATATCAATGCCTATTTTAGGAATATACCTTTTTGAAAATAGATTTCAAATTCTCAGTCTTCAAGGCCCCAATTATCCTCCATTAATATTATATAAACACTAAAAATGCATCAATGAATCTTCTTCAGACTACAATGAATTATAGGGGATGTGTCATAGCTTCACAAAATGTACCTATAAGACCACCCCAAGCCTTCCAATTACATCATAATTCCACATATTGCATAATTTAACTATCCAAACTAGTTTCAGTTTTCACAGTGCAACAAACGCTATTATTCAAGTTTTCCCCATTAGATTATTCTGTTATCCAGAAAGACTTTTTTATTAGATTTGGGTCAAGTTCAGCAAGAAATTGCAGGGAATTCATGGATGGGGGAAATTAATGTTACTTAGGAACAATTAGGAACTGGGAAGAAGAAAAGTTTCTTTTCTTTTTCCAGCTAGTGAATTAAAATAGTTGGACAAGGGAAGACCTACTCAGTATAAAAGCATTAAGATCAAGGGCTAGATTTTGGAAACAACTGTCAGTTTTAGAGGAGTGGTGGAATTTTCAAAATTCTCAAGCACAACAGGCATCTAACTGTCTTGGATTTTAGACACTTGAGTGTTTAATGGGGTTTTCAGCAGACCTAAATGGTTTTGAAACAATTAGTTAAATGAGTGGAAATATTTAGTATTTCCTCTGGTTAGTAAGTCAGTTTTTAAATGCAAAATAGGTTTCAATAAAAGTAGGGCCTGTTTATCAGGTCAGGTACAGACAGTTGTGCTCACACTGAGCTCATGCTCTCAGTGGGCTGGACCCAAGCCAGCCTCTGCACAGATGCCATAGAAACTACATTTTCAAGTTCGTTTTAAGACAGTGCTGCAGCCAAGAGAAACAATCTCTCACCAGGCCCCAAACACTCATCCCTAACTACCACATTACCACCTCCCCTCTGCCAGCATAATGAACTGAATCACTGATCTTGTCTAGCTTAAAACTAACTTCTTTTTTTGGCTAGATTAGGTTTTACCCTGGTCCAGCTCACTCAGTTGCTGCACAGACATTTGTGCAAGGAGAGGAAGCAGGAAGGGCAAAACTACTTAATTTAGTGGCAATGCTGATTTCTGTCAATTCACAGCACATGACCAAACATATCCTTATTTCTTCTTTACAATACTCATCACATCTAAGGCACATCTATTCAATTAAATGTAATTTTGCAATACTGTTTCAAACATTTTAATTAAATCCCTTTTTTCATGTAAATAGAGCATGACTCAGAAGTGAAAATTAAATTAAGTAGTAAGACCCACCACTTGTAAGCTAAGCCAGCAAAAATTCACAATGTGAAAGAATGTTGTTCAGGTTTACTTCTGCTACCTAAAAAGACATAATTTAGTATAAGAGTTCATGAATCAAGATTGTTTATTTATCCCAACCAATGAGAAAAGAGCTTTCTTTAGGAAAATCATGTATAAAATGCATTTTTTAAATGTTAAAAATCAGCCCATCTGCTTTGATGAAACCTATTTGAACCCTTGCTTTTAATTTTCTGTAGTTTATCTCACTGTTGGACCCAATACATTCCTCTTCTGCCTTTCCAGTGATGTGTTTAGAAGCAAAGCAAAGAAAGAAGAGAGATGTGTTTTCCACAATCGGTTTCTAGGGCTGTCCGAACTCTCATTTCCCCTCCCATCCCTCTGCCTGGGTAAAAGCTCACCCTGGACCAGCCACCAACCAGGCCCAAGGAAAGCATCCAAGGGGCAGGCGATGCTTTGCACTGGGAGAAGTGACTTTCCCTTCCAAGCTCTCATTCCTGCCGCTGCTGGAAGCGCCAGTTCTCCGTGATCCCGTGGCAGGTGACTCATGTTGATACAGACAGGATAAGGGAAAGGATTTCCTTCCTCACTTCCCACCTGCGGGCATTGAGGCTGTTCACAGAATTCGTCAGGGTGGAGAGGGATCTCTGGAGATCCCCCAGTCCAAACCCCTCTCCTGGCAGGGTCACCCACAGCAGGTAACACAGGAGCGAGTCCAGCTGGGTGCGGAACGCCTCCGGAAAGGTGAACCCAACACCGGCACGGGGTGACAGTGACAGCCCCAGCGCGGCACAAGGAACACCCATGGGGACTCAGGAGCCGCTGGCACCCCAAGGCAGTGACCCCACGGTCGGTAGGGCCCCTCGCTGCCCTCCTCGAACCGCACCTCAGGGCGGGCCGAGGCAGCGCGGCCGCCCCGGGGGTGCCGTGAGGCGGCAGCGGCGCCGCTCCAAAATGGCGCAGGCGGGGCGGAGGGGCCCCGCGGGGACGGGACGGGGCACGGCGGGCGGGCCGGCGGCGCCACTCACCTGCCGGTAAGAGAGGCGGAAAGGCCGCAGGTAGAGGGAGGAGGTGCAGGGCTGCACCGCCAGCTCCTCGATGGCCTCCATCCCGGAGGAGGAGGAGGAGGAGGAGGAGGAGGAGGAGGAGGAAGGGGAGAGGCGCGCGCAGCCGCCGGCGGCCGGGCCGGGGCTGGCGGACGCGGCTGCGGCCTCTGCCCTCAGAGGGAGCCGGAATCACGGAGTGCTGCGTTTCACCCCCCTCAAAGCGCGACACAGGAGCCTCCCCGCCTTTATTCTCAGAATCACCAAGGTTGGAAGGCATCTTTAAGATCATCCGGTTCAAGCGGCCGCCTAGCACTGCCCCTGTAACCCTTAAACCGCTAACACATCGCCCAATGCCAGATCTAGACACTCTTGAACTGGTGACTCCACCATCTCCCTGAGCAGCCTGTTGCAATGTCTGACTGTTATAACACTGGAAAAAATGTTCCTACTGTCTGTTCTGAATCTCCTCTGTCTTAGCTTAAGGCAATTTATTCTTTTCCTCTCACTGCAGGCACGGAAGAAGAGACCGGCCCCCACTCGCCTCACTACAACCTGCGGTCATGGAGCAGAATTATTCTCCAGAAACACCTATTCACAATCCTGTTATGTCAGGAGCCTGGCGGATGTCCTCAGAGGGTCACTTATTCCCACACTTTACACCAAAATTTATGGGGTATGCCCATAATTGGGAACTGAAACCCACCCCCTCCTCCCAAGCCTTGATGCGATCTACGTGCTCCTAGGTCATCCCACTCCTGGATATCATCGGGCTTTGCAGAATGAGCACCTTGCTGTGAAAAGCAAGGTCCCTTCTGCCTGCCTGCATGTGTGGTGCTTTCCTGCTAAATGGAGATTGTATGAGTGGTGTGGGAAATGCAGCTATAAATACAGATTCTTGGATAACCTTCAATTCATCGCTCGATGCATCTTCAACTTTGCTTTTCAGGGTCAGCTTCCAGTACTGGCCATGCACCCACCCCTTAGCTGGAGAATAAAAGAAGCTTGGTTAGACTCCCCTGGCTGTTTTCGAGTTACAAAATAGTTATCCCTTCTCCTTTTATTCAGTATTTTTTAAGGAGAATGCTATTAGATTTAGCAATTTCCTGGTTTTTGTAGAAGTTTGATCACAGTTATGCAACATTAGGTTACATTACTCTGGGTGCTTTAATACTCCTAATAATTATTTTCCAGGTTCATGAGCAACTATTTGTGGTGGTTATCTCTCTGATTTGTGATCACTTTCTATGTAGATGTGCCTGTGTACAGCAGTTTAGGTGCCATATAAATCAAAATATTTTGTCAATATTTTGATTTATATATATATATATATATATATATATATATATATATATATATATATAATTTTGGTCACACTGAGAAAAATCTGAAGTTTCTTGGATTTTTTTCTTTTTTTTTTTGTCTTCCTCTGTACTTCCACTGCATCACTAAGAAAGTTTATTGTCTTGTCATGTGGTAGAATTTTAGCAGTCTAACTAAAAGGAACAGATCCAGCAATTACAAAACTCACTAAGAAGTAAATGAGGCAGCACTTACATTGCAGAATGCTTACCATCAGTTCTGATAACGCAAGTGGCAAAAAAAATGCTTGGTGGGGCTGCAAAGTGTGGCTTTGAAAGTGTGTTTGCAAAGCTATCATAAAAAATAGGCAAGGAAATGTATTTTATTAGCTGACTTCAAAAATATTTGTGTAACTCTGTTTGCATCACTGTATATGTCTACATATTTTTGGTTTTTTCAGAATGATCTCAAGGTCATTCAGAGCTCCTGGGAACTTAAGCTATATTTTTCTAGTAAGTTATTTCAGTCTTCCAAGTCCAATTTAAGTATAAACAGAGTTTCCATGCACAGCAGGTTTACAGTATCTCTGTTTGCTTATGTTAAAAGTTACCGGCTACCCAGGTCGGTTCAGCCAGTCAGATTGCCCTCTTCAATAAACATTCTGACACCACTTTCAGGTTTTGAGTGTGTGTGTGTTTTGGGGAAGGTGTCACACTGTATGATGGATTGCTTATTCCATTCCTAGGCTTAGGTGGGAAGCTTTTGGGGTTGTGATGTGTCACAGACCTGATCTCGTTAATGTACCTAGAACAGTCGAACACAGTGTCACAGGAAAATGCATTTTGAGATGCTCAGGTGTTGCAATTACAATGGAAAGCTGTCGATTCCTTTGTTGGAAAATCTTCTTTGTGAATATGCCAGCTGAATTGAGGAGTTAACAGGCTGAGATTGATGAGTTGCCTTAATGTTCCTGTTTTACAGGTGAAATCTGAGCAAGAAAATAAATAGGAAAAATATGTTCTGCATAGTGGGACTATCATTCATCACCTGGACCTGAATTTCATTACAGTTCTTTATTAAGGTTCAGATTCCCTCTGCAGCAAGTGGCTTTGCATTTGCTAGAACATGAACAATCCCAAGAAGGAAATTTCTTTCAGCTATCATTTTTTCAAAGGGACAATAAGAACGTGGAACAATTTTTGTGTGGGTGAAACACACTCCTGCTTTCCTGTTCCCTTTCACTGCTTTTGTGGCTGTCTGGCACAGTGACACCAGCCTGGCTCGAGGTGCACTGAGTTCACAGCCAGGATTAGGAGATGATACAATGCAGAGATGCTGCTCAGCTCCTCAGCTCAGGGGTCAGAGCTCTGTTCCCACCTGGGTTCCAAAGGACACGGCATGTTTGCTCTGTAAACTGCCCCAGCTACTTTGTTGTGTGTTCCTTGACATCCCTGTGTGTTTGCAGAACTACTAGTGGTGGGATGTGTCCAGAAACTTGGGAAAACAGATGTCCAAAGTGTTAAAGGACTGTGTTCATGCCTATTACCTTCAATGAGATATTTCCAATACTTTAATCCATGTTTAACTGCTTGCAGAATCTTTTGGGTTTGATTAGCATTATTCCAGTAGCATTTGCATTTCTACGATCCTGTCCCTAGTTCATCAGTTCCCAAACTTCTTACATCCTGGATTACTCTTGGCTATCACAGTTTCTTTGCAGGGTGCTATTCAGCTTTATCATTGCACTTCTAATCAAAACAGCTACCTCTGATGTCCTTCCACAAACCAATTGCCTTATGCCATTGCATCTTCCTTGCCAAGTATGACTCAAGATAGTTAACTTGACTTCCAGAAAACCAAAAATGTGTCAGAATGACAGGTTGCCTTTCACTGTATTAAATACATGTCTTTTTCTTCCTTAACAGTGGCTTCTGGATTGTTTTCTTGTTATTAAAAAAAAAAAAACAAAAAAAAACAAACAGATACAAAGTTGTGAATGTTGTCATGTGTAGTTTGCTCATGGGTTCTTTAGTCTCCTGGAGCTGCTGGTCTCCTGCTGTAAAATACTAAAATCTAGATGTTTTTCCCTAGGCTGTAATAGATCTGAATATGGTTTGTGTAACAGTGTGATAAACAGCCCAATGAGGAAAAGCAGAAAGTGTGAATAAAAATTTGTGTCTTTCCTGGAAAGGAGGCAGAGAGGGGAAAAAAGAGAAGTGTCCTGTCTGGAGTAAAGAGTCTTAAGGGAAGATTCACTGGGATTTCTTACAAAAAATGAAATGTCAACATTAGTGTTAAAAAGGAATTCTTTCTGCAGAGTAAAAGTCTTTGTTTAACAGACTTCTCTTTCCTTCAAAGCAGTGTTTGCTCTGTGTAACTTCGTGAGTAACTTTTATTACCAGCAAAGTACCCAAACTTTTTTTTTTTTTTTTGGTTGCTCTTTTAAGAAGTTTCCTTGAGCTTGGAGTTTCTGCCGACACAGTCCTTCGCTCCCCCTTACAGCCCCGCGGTCCTCGGGCATGCACTCTGCGGAGGGTCAGGTTGCATCCTCATTAGCGGCTTGTTTTATTGCTGTTTGCTTTGGGACACAACCGGGAATGTTTCCGTCGCAAGGCCGGTGCTGCTGCCCTTCTGCTCGCCGTGGCACCTCTCACCTCGGCCCAGGCTTACAGTGAGTGAACATCCAGGAATGTCCCTTGTAGTACTTCCTTCTTCCCACTGGAGCTTTGCAAGGTGCCTGAGCTGTTGGGTTCACTCATGCAGAGTTAGGCAGCACATTTTCCATAGTGATTTTTGTGTGTGTACATGTCTGCGTGTACTTTTCATCTCCGTCAATCCCTGCCAGGCTCGCTTTGTTCTTTGACATGCCGTGGCTCATGAAGAAAAAATCATCATGTCCTGAGCCTTTCATCTCCAGAGGACTCCTTAATATATTGCAGAGTATCATTACTTTTGATATTTGTGAGAACAGTAGTTACTAAGATACTACAAATATGAAAGCCTAAACAACCAGAGGCATGTTGACTTGCAGTTCTCAAATTTCGTTTTTAAAAAATTATTTCTAACCCTTATGGTTACAGGGTAAAATGGGAAATGTAAATGATGGAAATGTAAGTGCTGGCAAACTTAATGGTTTGTGAGCTGTTAAGTGGAGGTGATGCCACATGTTTGGTAGAAGGGCTTTGCTGTTGGGTGACAGCTGAATCCCCAGCTCTGGGCAGAAGAATGCCAGCAGAGGCAGCTGCTGAAGCCAAGAGGCACTGGATCCAGCTGTGTGCCCACAGCAGCCCCATCCAGCTGGGATGCCATCAAAGCCGTTGTCTTCTGCCTAGAAACTGCTCTCAGAACTTCCTCCTCTGCCTCAGCTCCCTGGGCCACGTGCAGTTTTTTTAAGGTCACATAGGGATATTAGGAGAGTTGAACATCTCTCCTGTACAGGCTTAGTGAGGAGGACGGATGAAAGTGTCCCAAATCAAGTCTATTTTGTAAACTCATGTTGGGAATCTTTATGGCTGACAGCATGAAATTGTATTCTCTTCATGTGGGCCATCCTTGCATCGCCACAGAGATGTTAGTTTTTAGTGCCTTTCTGGGGATCAGATGCATGTTCTTTCTGTAATGAAGTGGCTGTTGTGAAGTTTGCCTTCTAAAGCTTTCCCCTTAGGCTCCTGGGGAAAAGCAAGCCTGAAGCTGCCAATATCTAACTTTTAATTATTATTCAGTTCTGGGGCATAACCACCCTGGTTACATTCATGAAAGTCAGGAATTGTGCTTATGCAATTCTTTTGGCATTGTAAATAGAGCCCTAGAGAAATTTGTTTTGATTTTAGTAGTAACTTTCCTGAGAGACTACTTTTTGTTTTAATAAATTATTTACATTTCAATTACAAAATATAAAATTAGAGGTCCACATTGCAGTACATAAAATGTTCCACCAAGTTATTCACCATCAATTGGTTCAGGGCTGCATCAATCCATGAATAGACTCAGTCTGAAGAACTTGGAGCAATTATTCCTGAATTTGGTTTGTAAGGACTAATGGCATGGTCACGACAGGCATGGTGTCTGGTATTGCTGATTTGCACCACAGCAAGTTAGAGGAGTATGTCACTTTGCTTCCCTTAGATGTTTTCATTAGCTCCATCTTGTTTTCAGAAAAAGTGTATCTCTTTTAATGAGAACAACCATCTTGGTCTTTACTTTGCAAAGTCAAAAACTGTCTCATGGCTGTAGTAGGAAACTCACCTGTGTCTAGGTGTCATTTCCCAGAAGAGCTGAAATTTATCCATCTGCCTTGTGAAATGAAGGTCTGATAAACAGCTTTTTTTTGTGCCTATCATCAGTAAAAGCATTGAACTAAATATGGTAAGAAAAAAAAAATTAAACATATTCAGTATAAATATAGAAACAGATATTATGACATGTAAAATTGGTCTCTAAAAATAGTGAAGGAAAAAAAAGCTCTGCAACATAAATGTGTAACTAATATGTCAAATAGTTCTTAAGTTATTCACAATATAATATGACAAGTTGCAATATGGTATAAAGTAGAGGAGGGGAGGTGAGAACATGGGAAGTAAATTCTCATTCTTAGCTTTTCAGCTGGGGGAAGAACAAACAGTGTGAAAAAAAAAAGAAACAATATGCATGCAAAATTTAGATACTTTTATATTATATTAATTACTATCCAACAAATGTTGCCTACAGCTAG